AATCCTTCTGCCTCAGCCTCCCGAGTAGCTGGGACTACAGGTATGCGCCACCATGCCCGGCTAATTTTTTGTATATATATTTTTAGTTGGTCAATTAATTTCTTTCTATTTTAGTAGAGACGGGGTCTCACTCAGGTTGGTTTCGAACTCCTGACCTCGAGCAATCGGCCCACCTCGGCCTCCCAGAGTGCTAGAATTACAGGCGTGAGCCACCACGCCTGGCCAAAACACAATTCTTATAAAAATTAGACCTATGACCTCATGGAAAACTCTTTTAATGGCAATAATATTTACCTGGTTTTATACATCATCTTAAAAAAACACAACCAAAAAAGTGAAAATAAAACTTACCTCATAATACCACTTTGATATTGGCAAACTGTGGGTGATAGCAAGCCAGTTTCGGTGTACTTCAAAATCTGTGGAATGGCTACTCAAAACAATTAGATGAATAAAACAAGATTTTGCAACATTTATCAATTTCTAATTTCCATAATTACGCTTTTAAATGGACCGACATCCCCTAAGCAGTCATAGCTCACTATCCTATAAAGACATAAACAGGCATGACATAAACCTGTAATACCACACTTATCTGGAGGTCAGACTTCCTTTTGAAAAGTTGTTGAGGGACCTGTAAGCCAGTAAAAAGGGTCTCAGAGCTATCAAAAGGGCTGACAAAAAGCCCACACTTTTTAAGGGAAGCCCTCAGGCCCTTGCTCAGAAATGACATCCTCTTGCTCACAAAGAATTCTAACAAAATTCATTATCTGGAAAAGGCCTCACATATAAGCTGGATCTTCCAGGATGAGGAGGAGTTCACCACAGAAGGTAGAAAAAGGCCCCTGCTGTGCTCATGTCTCCTACTTCTCCCCCTCACCATCACAATGTATAAATATATTCAAGTACCTCCCATCTTCAGTAGAAAATCTTTTTTTCCCGTTTGTCCACTGCTATACCTCCCCTCCACATACAAAACAGTATCTGACACATGGATGGGCTCAATACATTCTAGATCTCTCGAAAGAAATTAATTGGCCAACTAATATATATACAAAAAATTAGCCGGGCATGGTGGCGCATGCCTGTAGTCCCAGCTACTTGGGAGGCTAAGGCAGAAGGATTGCTTGAGCCCAGGAGTTTGAGGTTGCTGGGAGCTAGGCTGATGCCACGGCACTCTAGCCTGGGCAACAAAGCGAGACTCTATCTCAAAAAAATAAAATAAAATAAAATTATATATATATATATATATGACTATCAACCAATTTCCCAGTTTTGAGTCCCATATATCCAAGTCTTAAACCCCTCTAGGATTCTGCAAGGTGTATAGACTCTTTTCTAGTCTATCCTCCTCTACAAGCATGCTGAGCTGAAAGTTCCTTTGCCTTGCTAAACAAGTTACTACTCCTCCACCTGTTTTCAAAGACTCTGTTGAACTCTCTTAAATTTGTAAGAAAATGTATTTCTTAAATAATAAGACTTGAAAATCAAAAATTACTCCTGATCCATGGACTACAGAATGGATACTATGTTAGCAGGCATGAAAACAACATTAATGTCCTTAATAATCTCTATCAGAGCTCTTGGGTGACCAGATACATCATCAGTGAGCAGTAATATTTTGTAAGGAATCTTTATTTTTGAGCAGTAGGTCTCGACAGTGGGCTTAAAATATTCAGTAAACCATGCTGTAAACAGATGTGCTGTCTTCTAGGCTTTGTTGTTCCATTTATAGAGCACTGGAAGAGTAGATTTAGCATAATTCTTAAGGGCCCTAGGATTTTTGGAATGGTAAATGAACATTAGCTTCAACTTAAAATCAACAGCCGCATTAACCCCTTTCAAGAGTCACCTGGTCCTTTGAAGCTTTGAAGCCAGGCAATGACTTCTCTTTAGCTATGAAAGTTCTAGATCAGGGGTCCTCAAACTTTTTAAACAGGGGCCAGTTCACTGTCCCTCAGACCGTTGGAGAGTGTGGCACTGTGGGCCGGGGACCAGTCGGTTGCTAAGCAGGACAGGCAGCAGTGGCAAAAACACCGGGAGGGCCAGATAAATGTGCTAGGCGGCTTGCAAGTGGCCCGTGGGGCATAGTTTGAGGACGCCTGTCCTAGATAGTGTCTTCTTCTGAAATAAGGCTGTTTTATCTGCATTGAAAATCTATTGTTTACTGTAGCCACCTTCATCAATGATCTTAGCTAGATCTTCTGGATAACTTGCTGCAGCTTCTAAATCAGCACTTACTGCTTTACTTTGCACATATATGTTATGGGGTGGCTTTTTCCCTTAAACTTCATGAACTAGCCTCTGCTATCTTCAAACTTTTCTTCTGCAGCTTCCCCACCTCTCTTAGCCTTCATAGAATTGAAGAAAGTTAGGACCTTGCTCTGTATTAGGCTTTGGCTTAAGGGAATGTCGTGGCTGGTTTCATCTTTTATCAGACCACTAAAACATTCTCCATATCATCAAAAGGCTGTTTGCTTTCTTATCATTCGTGTACTTACTGAAGTAGCACTTTTAGTTTGCTTTAAAAACTTTTCTTTTGTCTTCCCAACATGGCTGTTTGGCACAAGAGGCCTAGTTTTTGGCCTATCTTGGCTTTTCCAAGTGCCTTCTTCACTAAGCTTAATCATTTGTAGCTTTTGATTTAAAGTGAGAGACTTGTGACTCCTCCTTTCACTTGAACATTTAGAGGCCATTGTAGGGCTATTAATTGGCCTAATTTTAGTATCATTGTGTCTTGGGAAGAAGGAGGCCCCAAGAGGAAGAGAGAGATGGTGGAATGGATGGTCAGTGGAGCAGTTAGAATACACACATTAAGTTTGCTGTCTAATGTGGCTGTGGTCCCAAAGCAATGACAATAGTAACATCAAAGATCCCTGATCACAGACCACCATAACAGATAATTACCAAAACCTGACATAGAGACATAAAGTGAGCACATGCTATTGGAAAATAGCACCAATAGACTTGCTTGATGCAGGGTTGCCACAAACTTCCAATTTGTAAAAACAGCAATATCTGTGAAGTACAATAAAGGGAAGCACAAAAAATGAGGTATGCCAGTATGTCTGCTGCCGAAGTGAGCACTATACACATTCTTAATCCTGAACCGAGAGTGGTATTCAAAATAACAACACTGCGGGTACATTTATAGGCTGAAGTAACTAAAGCAAGAAATATCCCTTTATATGCACAGAACTTGTTAAAAAGAATTCTCTTTCATTCTGATATAAAAGGAATTTGCTACATTTTAGAAAGATTTTTCCAATTTGCTTCTAAAATGGAAAGATGTTTCTTATTTGCTTGTGCAGAAAGTTTAAGTGACCAACTCTTTTCCTCCAAGTCCCTGGTAAGTCATTTTACTGAAGCTAGATATACATTTCACTACTTATATAATTACATATGCACATCATGGTATATGTATGGACATATATTCTATAAACACAACTATCCTATACCCAACGAGAGAGAGAAAAAAAAGAGAGAGTGCCAAGAGCTTGAATCAAAGGATACCAATAAAACAAATCCTAAACTAGGAAGTAGGGGACCTGGAGATAAGGGAGAAAGGGCATAAGGGGAAAAAGGGAAAAGAGGATGATGGGAAAGTGGAAGCTGATATTAATAAATATTGAGTACCCATTGTACTGTATACACACCACCACTTAGTGGTTGCTTCCTAATTCCCATGCTTTTTCAGTCTTGGCCCTCCATCCATTTTTCACACAGCAGTCTAACTATGGCCTTCATAACCCTGTGTGATCTGGCCACTGCCTACCCCATCCTGTGCCATTCTTCTCCCTTAATGCTCTTCAGCCACAATGGCCATTTTCTGTTCCTAGAATGCTGAGTTCTTTCCTACCACAGGGCCTTTGCATTTACTCTTTCCTATGCCTGGACTGCTTTTCGTAGTACTTATTCTTTTTCATCCTTTGAATTTTAACGCAAACATCGTCTCCTAAGAGTGCCCTGCCACTTTGTCACTCTGTATTTCCTTTATAGATCTTATCACAATCTGAAACTTTCCTGCTTGTCTATCTCCACTCACCAACTCCATCCAGGGCAAGGACCAGAAATGTCTTGCTCACCACTGCATCTTCAGGAGTTAGAAGAGTTCCTGGAGCTGATAAGACTGGCTGAATGAATGGTGGAGATGGGTGTTCTTAAATGCATATTAAGGATGAGAACCCTGAGGCTCAAAACGTTAAAGTGACTTGTCCCAAATCAGACAGCGCCAGGCCTGAACCTGGCCAGCTAGGGCTATGTTCTAGCTCTCAGGTCAAGTAACAATCGGTGGGAAACTTAACAAAGGCGGGTAGCAACCAGCGCGACCTACCTAAAGTTCCCTTTCCTCCTTATACCCAAGAATACCCATACTCCTCTCTCCCGCCCTGACCCACCGCCGGGCCTCCCCACCCAGCCCCTGACCGTGCAGGTCCCTTACTAGGTGGGGATGAGCAGGCATTTGAGGAGAGTCACCCCGAGCGCCAAAGCCGAAAACCAATTGCCAGAACCCGTCACACTTCTGAGCGCCGCCATTGCAGCAGCACGGCAAGCTATCAATCAACTCGATCCATATCCGGGATCCCGCGCATGCGCAGAAGGCCCTCTGAGGCGGTTCCTGCGAGCTCTGCGCATGCACCCATCCGCTCAGCCAGTAGAAGGGCAGGACTCAGGCATTTAAACCTCCCGCCCACCAACCTTTCCCAGCTGCGCCTTATCACCGGCCGGGGTGGGCTCTACTGCGCCTGAGTAGGTCTTCGCTGTGACAGATTTCAGTTTTATTTGCTACTTCATACTTGCATTCAGATAGTGGCTAGTCGTCTGCTGTGGGTCTTGATTTTCCCTGGCATTGAGGATACCTAGGTGAGAAAAAACTCTTATCTTACGCTAGAGACGTTCACGTACTGGTAGAGGAGACAGGATTGTCACCCAAGAGTTACAGTGGATAAAAGTATTAATACTTGGGATTACTGCGGAGGCCCCCAACCTGGACGCCTGCACCAGAGTATTAAATTCAGCTAGGGAATGGCATGAGCAAAGATATAGAGGTGAAAACATTGTGTTTCTAGAACTCTGAGCTAGGCTCTTGGTTCAGCACCTGCCCGTGTGGAACCCATTCTGGAGGCAGGCTAGAGACTCCTTCTCATACTTAATATACAAATAACCTGAGGTTCTTGCTATAATAAAATTCTGATTCTGATTTAGTAGGTCTAACAAACTCCCAGATCACATCAGTGCTGCTGGTAACCGAGTAACAAGGGCTGAGTCATGCAGTGCCATTAGTCTTGTCTCCTCGTTGTGCTATGTGATTTTGGACAAACTATTTAAACTCTCTAAGCCTATTTCCTCTTTTGTGAATAGATAAAAATGGTTTCTACCTCAAAGTCGTTGTGAGGATTAAATGAGAATGCATGTAAATTGCTCTATATGATTCCAGAACAGAATAAATTCTCAATAATGTGTCAGAGAAGTTAAATACCTTGCTGAAAGATGGACAGCAAGTAGGTGACAGTGTCACTCCCCAAATAGTTTATGGCCTCCCACAGCTTCAGCTGCCACCCATATGAGTGTGATGTACACATTTATAGCTCAAGCTCAGCCTCCTTCTTTCACCTCCAGACCCTTATCTTCAACTTACTACCTGACATCTCTTAGATATTTTAAAGGCAGCTTGCATTCATTTCCTATTGCTGCTGTAAGGGATTACCACAACTTGAGCATCTTAAAGCAACACAAATTTATTCTCTTACAATTCTGTAAACCATAAGTCTAAAGTCAGTCTCACTGGGCAAAAGTCAAGGTGTCTTTAGGCTTGATTCTTTCTAGAGGCTCTGAGGGGAGAATCTGTTTTTTGGCTTTTAGAAGTTTCCTGCTTTCCTTGGCCTTGGCCTCTTCCTGACATCATGCCAACCTCTTGCTTTCATCCTCACAATCTATTGCTTTTCTATTGTCAAATCTCCCTTTGGAAAAAAATCTTCCTCTGCTTCCTTCTTATAAGAATACTTGTGGGCAGAGGGGGGCATGGGCAATATACGTAACCTTAACATTTGTACCCCCATAATATGCTGAAATAAATAAATAAAAAAGAATACTTGTGACTACATTTAGGGCCCACCTGTATAATCTCCGCATCTCATGATCCTTAATTTAATCACATCTGCAAGTCCATTTTGACATATAAAGTAACATTCACAGGTTCTAGGGATAAAGACATGGATATCTTTGGAGATTGTTGTTCAAATGTATCACACATCTTAAACTCAATATATTCAAAACTGAACTCACAATCTTTCAATATTATCCACTAAGAATGATGACACCAACCATTCCTTCCTTCTCCCACCTGTTCAATGTGATATTCAATGTGTCACTCATGTGAATTGACTAACCCCACACCCATTCCCAACCCCCTTCTTCCTTTTCAATTTCTTCTAAAGAGTCTAGAAAATAGGCTTGTTACAATGGCTCACACCTGAATCCTAGTACTTTGAGAGGCCAAGGTGGGAAGATTGCTTGAGGCCAGGAATTTGAGACCACCCCACCACCAAAAGAAAAACTTTAAAAAAGTTAGCCAGACATGGTGGTGTCCACTTGTAGGCCCAGCTTCTGGAAAGGGTGAGCTAGGAGTGTCTCTTGAGCCCAGGAGTTTTTTTTTTTTTTTAGCTCAGGAGTTAGTTCAAGGTTGCAGTGAGCTATAATGACGCCACTGCACTCCACCATGGGTGACAGAGTGAGACCTTGTTTCCAAAAAAAAAAAAAAAAAAGGCTAGAAAATTAAACAGTTGATTTTCTAGCTTCCCTAGCAGCTAGGAGTGGCCTGATGATACAGTTTGTCTAGTAAAGTTGTAAGCAGAAGGCTGCTGGGGGGTTTCTGAAAAAAAGTTTCCTTTCCTGATAAGAGTTGTCATGACTGTCTTATCTGAATAGCCATCTTTGCATTGTTCTGGGTCCAGCTCTGCCACTGCAGACTCTTGCAGCGATATCACCAGAGTCCCTGAATGCTCAGTATTTTTTTTTTTTTTTGAGACAGATTCTCACTCTGTTGCCCCGAGGAGAGTGCCGTGGCATCAGCCTAACTCATAGCAACCTTAAATTCCTGGGCTCAAGCGATCCTCCTGCCTCAGCCTCCCAAATAGCTGGGACTACAGGTGCATGCCGTGATGCCCAGCTAATTTTTCTATTTTTAGTAGAGATGGGGGTCTCACTCTTGCTCAGGCTGGTCTTGAACTCCTGAGCTCAAGCTATCCTCTCGCCCACCCCCCAGAATGCTAGAATTACAGGCATGAGCCCACACCTGGACTTCAGTTTCTTTTAATCCGCTTCATGGGATCAGTGGCATGCCTCCACCATGTCAGATGCTACAGCGTGGACACCAGCTCCCAGATCTGCCCCAGGGACTTAAAGGGGAATGAGGAAGTTTTGGAGGAGGTGGAGAATGGAAAGGACACCCCTGCTAATGGGAACACATGAGAAAAATGGGGAGCAGGACACCAACAATGAAGTAGGCGAAGATGGTGAAGAGGAGGATGGAGATGAAAATGAGCAGACTGAGGCAGCTGAAGATGATGAGAAGGACAATGTTGATACCGAGAAGCAGAACACTGATGAGGATGACTAGATAGCAAAAAAGGAAAAGCTAAACTTAAAAAAAAAAGGCTTCCCTGACTATTCACCCTCCATTTCCCCTCTCAGAATCTAAACAGGGTCACCTCGGAGTGGAGAGGCCTGGCCTCCTCCAAGAGCACAATGTGAACTTGCAACAGGGGAAGAAAAAAACAACCAATACTTCCAAGGTTCTGTGTTTTTTTTCTTAAAAGTATTTTTTAAAGGAAAATATGTTTTTATTTTTTATTTATATTTGATATTTTTGTACATATTATTAGGGGTCAACCATTTTTAATGATCTCAGATGTCCAAACCCAGCCTTTAGAGCATTCTGTGCCTTACCTCCCTACTTTTTTGTTTTCTTTGACAGACAGAGTCCCCAGGCTGGAGCGCAGTGGCCCTGGCAGGTGCCATCCTAGCACACTGCGTGGTCATAGGCTGTCATAGGCCCTGTTCTAGGGCGCTGCTGCCTGGTACTCCTGGCCTCAACACCTCAGCCTCCTGAGTAGCTGGGACTACAGGTGCCCTCCACCTCACTGGCTATCTCTGCCCTGCTCTGACTTTATTTGTAGTATGATGATATTCATTGGCATCTCAAAGGTGAAAAAAAAGGAAAAACTCTTTTTAAAAAAACCAAAAACAATAACAAACAATCTTATTTGGAGCATTCCAGTAACTTTCCTTTTTGGGGGGCCTGTTTGATGTATGTGTTATTCAACAATAAACTGGAATTTTATTTTGCTGAATTGTTCTAACAAAAACAAAAAGAATTGTCATGAATTTTGCCCCTTTTCTCATTCTTCCTACTTTTTTTTTTTTTTTTTTTTTTTTTGGAGACAGAGTCTCACTTTGTTGCCCAGGCTAGAGTGAGTGTCGTGGCGTCCTAGCTCACAGCAACCTCAATCTCCCGGGCTCAAGCGATCCTACTGCCTCAGCCTCCCGAGTAGCTGGGACTATAGGCATGCGCCACCATGCCCGGCTAATTTTTTCTATATATATCTTAGTTGGCCAATTAATTTCTTTCTATTTTTAGTAGAAACAGGGTCTCGCTCAGGCTGGTTTGGAACTCTTGACCTTGAGCAATCCACCCGCCTCGGCCTCCCAGAGTGCTAGGATTACAGGTGTGAGCCACCGCGCCCGGCCTCATTCTTCCTACTTTTTGAGGCAAAAAACTGGACTCAGCTGTGAGGAAAAAGTGTCTCATGCTGGTGGTGGCATCATTGAAATGCTAAAACAATTCCTTCTACCTCCAGACTTTTTATTATGTGAGGAAACACACACATCACCCCTATGTGTTTAAGCCATGGTTGGTCAGGTTATCTGTTCCTCCAGCTAAATCATTTCTAACTGCTATTGCCAAGTCCTGTCTATTTGACCTCCTGGCTGTCTCTCACATTTGTCCTGTCATTTATCCAGCCCAAGTCTCTCTTCACCCACCTTCACCATGCTAGCCATGTTCCCTTTTGTCACTGAACCTTTACATACGCTGTTCCCTCTCTCTGGAATCTTCTTCCTTCTCCCCTTGGCTAGTTAGATCTTCATCCTTTAGCTCTTAGATCAAGCACCTTAGATCAAGAGGTCTCCAGGGTAACCTCTGCTACCCTGCCCTGTGCACCTGTCAGCTGAGTGCAGTTTTACATTTTGTGTGTGATGATCTAATTCCCTTGCTAGCCATTCTCATGAGGACACTTGTTTGTTCTATTCATTATTGTAGCAGTAGCACTTTCACAAAAGCACAATATATATGCTCAATATCTGTTGAATGGAGTGAATGTCTGAAACAGGATTCCAGCCCAAGTCTTTCCCACGCCCAATTCCCCACTTTTCTCCCACTATACACTACCCAGAACAAGTAGATTTGGAACTTGCGGAGAAATTGAAGAAAAGGGCCAATGTCAGTTTTATAGGGTCTTCAAACTGGAAAAATCTGAGCAGATGGAACAATACACAACTTGGTGAAGTTTTTCATAAGCCATGTGACCTGGCCTCATTCCTTTCCAAGA